AAGACGTGCTGGTCGCCCCGCTCAATCGTGCAGCCGCGCTCCCACAGGAACCCTTCTGGGAAGAGATCAATGTTGTCACTGTTATCCTCCCAAGGTACGAAACATCGCGGTACGCCCTTGCGCCCAGTATCCCGTCGGCACTTGCACTGGCCGTGCGCCAGACTGAGGGTATGCGGGTACTCTGCGTCAGAGACGGTGCCCTTCTGGTGAATCAGGTGCACGTTCGCCCAGCTGTCCAAACCAACGGCCTGCCTCGGAAACCTCGCGGTTGTCGTAGCCGAAGAGGCCCTCAGAGACTCTCCGTCGAAGGCCGCCTTGGCCTGGGCGCTGGTCGCCGGCGGTGCGCCTGCAGGTTGTTCAGCAGAAATGGCTGCGTTCGCCTTGCCCTTGTCCTTGTCTTTGTCTTTACCTTTTCCTCCTTTTGGGTGTCCTTTGCCTCGTCCTTTGGCTCCTGCTTTCCCTGCGGCTGCTGCTTGCTCCTTTCTCTTGCGGTACTCCTCCCAGGCGGCTTCACGGTTAGGGTCGGCTCCGCCTCCCGGCGCCTTGCAGTCTTTCCCCCTGTGGTCCTTGGCGCCGCAAGTAATGCAGCGGTCCTCCGTGACAGGGAAGCCGGGGTGGGCAAAATGACAACTAATGCCGCGCTGGCAGACGCCACGCTCTGTCCAGGACCTGCAGGGGCTGGCCCAGCTAGAAGTCGTGGAAGAGTAGCGAACGGCAGCGGCATTCCCAGTAGTCGGTGTTTGTTGCGTCGGTTGCGCCGCTGTTTGCCGGAGAGCGGCGGCACGTTTCTTTTCCGTCTCCTTGATCTGGTGCTGGCGCGCCTTCTGGTTGTCAGTGAGAGGTAGTCCGGTGTTCAAACCAACGCCCCCATGAAGAACCAACGCTCCCAGCTCCGCCTCGGCGAAAGCAGCGACGTGTTCTATCGCCTGCAGGGTAATCACGTGAGGCAGACCAAGTTGATTGCGAAGATTAACCCATCTATGGTGGAGCTGCGGTTCGGCTTTGTCGAATACAGCACAAAAGATAGATCCCATCGCTCTGTAAGCCAGAAGAAGATCTGGAGGGTAGCAGCCCAGCTCGGCACACCTCCGGAGATTCTCCTTCCACTTCAAAAGCCCCACCTGGGCCGCGCGCGGCTGTGAGCACACGCTCGGGTTCAGTACTGAGTTGATCAGATGAACCTTCTCGTCCGCACCGCCAGGGGAGAAAGTCTTCATCACGTAGACGAGAAGAACGTGTGATGGGTCCACCTTGCCTTGGCGGGCCCTCAAGTTTACCCAATCGCGGATGTCCTTCGGCAGCGCGTCGAGTATGCGTGGCCTGATCCACGCTTCTACCTGCAACCATGCCTCCGGCATTGGAGCAGTAGGGAGAACCGCCTCCCGCTGGTGAATTGGCATCTTAAGAAACATATGATATGCCTTCTCGGCCTCGCGCTGGCACCACTTCCACCACTGGATCAAGTGCGGGCCAGCCGGGTTTATGGCCTGGTCGACAGAAATCCGCCAACTCAGAAGTCTACCTGCTCTGGAAGAAGAATCGCCCATCTCTAGCTTGGGAAACTCTGGCACGAACACCTGAATAGACTTCATCAACATATTCAGCTCCGCCGGGCTCAAAGACTGCGGGGGCGCATCCCCGTCAAGAAGCTCAGGTGGAGTCGGCGCCAGTCCTCCGAGTGCTCCCAGAGGCGGCGCTCCACAACTCGCGCTCTGCGGCTGCCGTGCAGATGGGCCCTCTGCCCCGGCTGCTGCGTGGCCCCCCAGGGACCGCGCGAGCTGTGCACCTCCCAGGAAAGAAAACACGTCACTGTCGTTAGTGTTCGGAGGAATCGTCTGCGGCGTAACGGCGACCAGCGAAAGTGGCTGCAAGTATGGAGCAACGCTCCCGCTTACGAAATTCTCCTGGTTGACACTGACCTCCGTGCCGCGGGGGTTCACAGGCAGACGACTGGCCAACGCTCCGCTGCGCGATGCGCCTGCGCCTCGGGAGAGGATGCCCTGGTCGTCGGTGATACCCTGCTGAATCAGTCCTGGTGGTACTTGTTGTTCCTGCCCAGGAACATCGGGTCGTGGCCACAACCCTGGGTCCCCAGACGTCGTCGTAAGGTTCGCCTCCCTCCTGGGTAAGCTCGCCGTCGCGCAGCCGCCGTCCTGCAGCGGGAGCCTCGCCGCAGGTGCGGTGGATGGCTGCGGTGGCAGCTCCTGCGGCTGCCGGGCCCCCTGGCCCTCTGTAATGGCCAACAAGTCGTCGGCCACGTTTCCTGCCCCAAAAATCGGGCCCCGATCCCCCGCCGGCGCGTCGTACCACTCGGCGCTCGGATCGGGATCGCTGCGCCGGCCTGCCGCGCTGCGCGGCGTGCCGCTGGCACTCAGCTGGTAGTACTCTGCCTGGTGTGGTGCGGTGTTGCTGTCGGGGAGCTCGTCCTGAACCTGAACAGACTGCCAGAAAGCCCATTCGAACTCTACCTGCTCTACTCTGCCACTGAGACGTTCGACCGACTCTTGAAGGTTCTTCACTGTAGTCGACAAGCCCTCCACCACCGACGTCAAACTCTGGATCGCGTCGCTGAGCTCGTTGCCGTACTGCGGGGCAGAAGCAGAAGCCCGGCCAAGCCCATCGGAAGGAAGCCCTCCCGACGAAACCTGGCCGGGGGCCCTATCGGAAGGCTTCCCTCCCGACCGGTCCCCAGGTCCATCGGAAGGAGGCCCTCCCGACGGATCCAGGCCAGGGGGCCTATCGGAAGGCTTCCCTCCCGACTGGTCCCCAGTCGTCGGTGCTGCGGTGCCGTCGTAGGCACTGTTGTAAGAGCTCGGCGGCGTGAGTTTCGTGGCGTCGTCTGCGGCCTTGTCGTCCAAGGTCTGTGCCTCGGTTGGTTCCTGCAGGGCTGGTAGTGGTTGAGCTGGCTCTGGCGCTGGCGCTTCCTGTCGGCGGTAGAACGAGCTTCCAGGGAAACCCACGCAGTCTCCGGAGCGAAGGTGGCGGGCGTGGCCTAAGTTGGCCGTGTGGCACGCCAAGCAGTGGCCACCAGCGGCGCCGGCGGCGCGGTCGAAGGACTGGGCCCGCCTGGCGGCTCTCTTCGGCCTGAGAAGCTCGCGGCTGGTAAGCTGTCCAGAAGCAGTGGTTGGCTCTGCTGGCGGCTCGGGGGCTGGCAAAGCCAGTGGCTCTGAAGAAGTAGCTCCTTCCCTAACCCCTTGCACTACTCCACGCACCAGCGAAAGCGCTGCACCAGTAGCGGTCGCCGCTGCACCTCCGATTGCCACTCCTACAGAAGCTGACAGACCAAGTGCTTCTGTGGCCCGCCCTCGCCAGGTAGTAAGTTGCTCAGCCAGAAAACGTGTCCACTGTTCCCGTCGTAGACCATTTTCATACGAAGCGTACTGTTGTGTGACTCCGGCCATACATGTACCACAGAACGGGTACCCCTGGAAGTACTCGAGGTTGATACATTGTGGGTGGCCGAACACGCCGCACTGCGTGCACAGCGCAGGTTCGTACACTTGTACATGGCATCGTTGACAGCTCGCGTGTACACCAACCAATAATCCTTCATTCGGCGTTGGGCTCATAACCCTTGTCACTGCTACTAGGGGTAAATTTTCTGACATGACGATCGCAGTGGAACGAATAGAAGGATGAAAGGCGAGTACCTTTTCCAGTCAGTGTGCGCTCGGCTTGGCTTGAGCCAGAGCGGTTGCAGTAGCAGCTGGCGCGCGCGTGCCAGACGTAGCTGGATTGCCAGCCGGCGATAGACAAAATGTTATTACATTGACTAAAAAAGGTAGCTGCGGACAGCACAAATGCATGCATCATCGATAGATCGGCGATGGCTTTGGCAATAAAGTCTACAAACAGTTCTGCTTGTGTGACACGCTATTCACATGGCTTGGGTCCTGGAGCCGATCGAAAGGAAGCCCTCCCGACAGGTCTCCGGACGTCTACACCCCGTGAAGGGGTCGAGAGCCCAGGGAAAGAAGAAACGACCCAAGCAGGGACGGGGTCGAGAGCTCCCGGGGCGTCGCGCCTCCAGCGCGCGTATGCCGAAACAGTTTATCAGGACTATAATACACACCATGCCTCAAGATGCTATGCACATGATTCTGCATTGCTAATCTGCTCACTGATCCGGGTGCGACGCGCATGACCACTCAGAAACGTGGGGTTCAAAGGATTCACGTGCGAGAAAGAGGCCCGCGCTGGGGCGAAAACGCCATCCTCAACGACGGAGGCCAAACACCGATCCGAAAATGAGGCCCACGCTGGAGCGGGAGCACGATTCGGAACGATTCGGGAGCAGAAATGAGGCCGGCGCCTCAGCGAGAGCAGCATTTTAGAAAAAACACAAGCGAAAACCCAACTCCGGGGAATCCTGTGTGTAAAAAAACAGTACGCGGGGGGTGCCGAATATCTTCCGGACGCCATCAGGGGAAGTGGGAGAGTATTTTCATATTGTGTAATTGTGGAGGAGGAGGAGGGGAGAAGGAGGAGGAGAGGAGGGGAGGAGGATTAGGAGGAGGGAGGAGAGGAGGAGGAGGAGTAATTAGGAGGAGGAGGAGAGGCCCCTCGTTCGGGTGTTTCGCGGGGGGGGGGAGGAACGAACGAACGAATGAAGCAGCCGTCGCCGGGATACAGGCGTCCCTGCAAGGGAGGCTGCCGCGATAGTCGCGCGCAGGCCTCCTACGAGGGCCACTCGATGTGGGGTCGGGACAAAGATAGATCAAACATGATGCACGAGACGTCGTGCCTTCGTCGCCAAGCGTGCTCCCTCCTCCTCCTCCTCCTCTCTCCTCCCTCCTCTCCTCCTCGCTCCTCCTCCTCCTCCTCCTCCTCCTCCTCCTCCTCCTCCTCCTCCTCCTCCTCCTCCTCCTCCTCCTCCTCCTCCTCCTCCTCCCTCCTCTCCTCCTCCCTCTCCTACTCTCCTTCTCCTCCTTCCCCTCCTCCTCCCCTCCTCCCCTCCTCCCCCTTGTCCTCCCCCCTGTCCTCCCCCCTTCCGCCCGAGGCCCGCCAGCACGGATGAGGAGTAGGGCCGAAGCCACGGAGGTCAGTGTCTTCATTGCGTTGTCGTCGGGGAGCGCGGCCGCCCGCAGCGCGCAGCGCGAGCGCCCCGCGCGGATGGCTGGCGCCTCTACAAGCCACAGGAGCGATTCGGGCGACGCGCGCGCGCTCTCAGGAGAGAAGAAGAAGCCCAACGACTGAGTGACGATCGAAAACGGGTCTTGCGCGAGATGGCATAGCGACCTCACGCGGCGGCTTACGCGGGCCGCCAGCGAAGCACGCTACATTGAAGACGAGCGCGCTCACGCGCGGCCTGACGCGGGCAGCTTCCGCGCCAATGTCGGCGCAGACGGCCATGTGTTCTTGCGTCGCTCAACTGGAGGCACGCAGCGGGGCGGCTACCGCCTTTTGACAAGGAAGCCGCTCCGTTTCTGAGAGGGCGCGCGGGGCATCGATCTCCAGGCCCAAACATCCGCCGATGTGATCTTGGGCAATGCGCGGCCCCTACTGCTTATTTATGATTTTACCTATACTTTTACTACGACGACCACTGCTACTAGCAGGCCACTGTGACACCGTTTGCGTGTGGCCAATGTAACGTGTGACCCCATCTCGGGTGTGAGGTCTGGCGTAACTATGTGACCCTTATTGTATGTAGCATACGTTGATTGTGGCCTCGGTTGTATGTGGCCTCATAACGTATATGAGCTCTCTCGTGCGTGGCCCATAACGTATGTGTCATCTCCTCGCGCGTGACCTCTGTCGTGCGTGACCTCTGTTTCCCTCTCGTATGTGATCCCTCTTGCTTGTTCGACGTCTTATATGTGTGATCTCTGTCGTATGTGACCTTCTTGCATGGGGCCTCTCTTGTGCGCGACCTCTGTTGCATGCGACGTTGGCGCGCGATGCGCTGAGAGGGAGGGAAAGGAAGAGTAGGTGGGGGAAGAGGAGGAGGTGGAGGAGAAAAAGGAGGAGAGGAGGAGAAGAGGAGGCGGCAGAGGAGGGAAATGAGGAGAAGGAGGAGGAGGATTGCAATGTAGTGCTGATGCCGTGAAGGGTAGGCATAACCCTTTTGAATCGAATGGTGCTTTTAGTCTCTTCCACCCTTGAAGTAGGTGCTCGATGTTGACACCTGGTAATGGTGGGTGATATGTGTGAAGCGCAAATCCTGCGGCAGCCACCTCTGCCTCGTAGCACTGTGACCGGGGGGGGTCACCGCATGTGGGACAGACGTCCCATCATGAGGGGACAACGAATGATGGACCCAAGTATTATGTGTGCGAGCAAAGAGCGTACATGTGAGCCCCATGCTGTGTCAACAGTGGTGCCGACGGATGCACCGCACCAAATTCAAGCACCAATGTGCGTTCCCAAGTGGGGGCACGGTGTGTCCGCCACACTGGGGGTGCAAACATAGCTCGGTTTTCAAGTGACCGAAAACGTTTCCCGCACATCGGTCCTCATAGGATGCCGGCGGAGCTTGTGCGGAAGCTGTCCGAAGCATAGGTGGCCGCCTCCCGAGGGTGACACCAGCGGGTGGGTGTTGAGGAACCCTGTGGCAACCTAAACGGTCGCCTCCTGGGTCCCTGGATGGGGGCTAACGAAAGGGTGGACGTACCCAAGTATGACCCCGTCCGAATCCATCCAGGGCAACCCCACTCCCGAGGTCGAACGGCCACGCGGTCAAGACGAGGTTCCGACGTTGGCACCTGGTAATGGTGGGTGATACGCGTGTAGCGCATATCCTGTGGCAACCAATTTCGACTTGTAGTACCGTGACTGGGGGTCAACGCTTGTGGGGCAGACGTCTTGGCATGAGGGGGCGACGAACGATCTAACCATGATGTGTGTCAGCAGCGAGCGGAAATGCGAGCCCCACGTTGTGTCAACAGTGGTGCCGACGGATGCACCACACCGAATTCAAGCCCCAATGGCGTTCCCAAGGGGGACACGGTTTGTCCTCCCCACGGGGGGGGGGCAAACATAGCTCGGTTTTCAACTGGCCGGAAAACGCTTCCCGCACATTCGATCCTCAGGGGTTGCCGGCGGAGCTTGCGCGGAAGATGGCGGGGGTAGAAGTGGCCGCCTGAAGGGGGCGACGCCGGCCGATACACGACACGTCGCCGTCGATACCAAGCCAAAAACTGCCCCCCTGGGACCTCCAGGCACATTACTGCGGAGAGACGCCTTTTGCAACCAAGAGAGCAAGAAAACCACCAGGGGCGAAAACCCAAGAAACACCGAACACAAAAAAGGAGCGCCGAAAACCAGAGATGGACGCCGAAAACCAAAGGGGCGCCGAACACCCTAGCAGCGCCCAAAACCACAAGAGCGCCGAAAACCAAAGGAACGCCGAAAAGCAACGTTGCGCCGAATACCAAAATGGCGCAGGAAAACCAAAAGGGCACCGATATTCAAAAGAGCGCCGAAAATGACAGGGGCGACGAAAACAACAAAAGCTCCGATGACTTCTCACGTCGCAGCGCGTCTGGGCGGAGACAGGGCACGGCGGCGCGAATTAACCCGCACGCGCGGGGGCACTCTCAGGCAGCAGGGCTGCGGCGAGCGCGCCCGTGGCCGGGCTGAAGGGCAGCCCCTGGCAACAGTCGCGAGGCGACATCGCGGAGAACCCAGGGGAAGGCCAGCATCCGCAGCGCGGGCGGGGCCCTCCGAGTGGGGGAGCGGGAGCAGCAGGCGGCCAGAGGAATCGGGGCGCCAAGCGGGGGGGGGGGGGAGCGGCGCGGGGCCAGGCGGCGGCGAGGGGCGAAGTGCGCCAGCGCTGCAGCAGCTGCGAGAGCGGCCCCAGGGCGGCGAGCGGCGGGCGGGCCAGCGGCGAGGCCACTGAGCGGCGCGCCGCGGGGGCACGGCGCAGGGGCAGGGGCAGCCAAAGGAGACGCGAACGCCATCTCGAAGCTGGCGCACGGCATCGCAGATTGGGGGCACGGCGCCCAGTGCAACTGAGGCACGAGCGGGGCCCCCACCAGGGGAAGGAGAGGGACGGGCTCGATGGGGGCCGTCCGTAGGGGCGCCGAGAAGGCGACCACCATCTGGCAGGGGAAAATGGGAGTCACCCCGCGCGCCCAGGGACGTGCCTGGCAGCACGGGCAGAGGCCCCAGGCGGAGGGCAATAGCGGGAAGCGACCCGCTACAGCGATGGCCCAATTGGGGCAGCGAAGCGAAAGCTGCTGACAGGGGCAAGACCACCTGGAAAGCGCTGGGGCTGCAGGAGTAGGCACAGGCGGGAGACGGCCCAGCGCGCGGGTCGCCAGGCGGGAAGCGGGAGGACAAAGCGCGCGCGCCATCACGAGGCTGGTTCACGAAATCACAACCTGGGACGTGGAGGAGCACAATGCAATGACGCATGGGCGGGGTCCCGCGAGAGGAAGGCGGGGGGGAAGCGCGGTGCCATCCAGGGGGGGCGCCGCGGCCGGCAGCCACCAAGGAAGAAAAAAAGGCAGGCGCCGCGTCGCCCGAGGAAGCCACGCCGCGAGTCGCGTAGCACAAGCAGTGATCTGGGGCGGGGGGCAGCGCAAGCTGCAGACAGGGGCGCGACACCGGCGCAGCGCGCGGCTCGCTCGGCGAGGGGCGGTGAGCCAGGCTGCGGCGCAGCCGAGGAGGAGCGGCGACAGGGGGCGGGCGGGCGGCGGAACGCGACCCGGGGGCGCGAGCTTGCCAGAGGCGGCACAAACTGGGAAGACAGCAGGGCAGCCGCAAGCACAGGCGTCGAGCAGCAGCGACATGAGGGGGCTGGCCAGGCACCACCGCGCACCACCTGGGTTGGACGGTTGCGCAGGGGCTGGAGCGGCGGGCGCGCCGAGGAGGGGGCGGCGGGGAAAGCATCAAACTGGTGCGCAGACTGGTGGAAGAACAAAGGGCGGTGCCCCCCTGGTTGGGAGGCGCGCCGCGCGTTGCAGCGCTGCCCAGGTCGCGGTGTTGACATAGCTCGTGGGGTCCAGGCCCAGCTCCAAGTCGCGCAGACATGCATCATGGCTGAGGACCTTCCAGCAGTGGTCCGTCAGGTCCAGGGGCGCGCCGCCTGGGCCGTACATGTGCGGGTGGAGGCTCACAACGTTAAAAAGGTACTGGGGCAAACCCTGCAGTCGGGCCCCACCGTTCTGTAGATCCTCTGCCAGGTAAGCCAAATCGCGGTTGTCGGGCAGCGGGGAGTGGACCAGGGCGGCGAAGCCAAATTGCTGATGCTCGCGTAACTTGGCAAGCCCCGTCTCCCAGGCCTTGAGCGCTACGTCTGTTGCCATCCTGCCCCTGTCGTCGGCGGTGGTCACGTCAGAAACGCAGGCCTCGCAGAGGGGCGCCGGCCTGAACGCGGGGTCGCCCTCTAGCACGCGCCGATTGCCTGCGTGCGCGCCGAGGTTCCAATAGCTGCCCCCACGCCCCAGGTAGCAAGGGCGCGTAATTAATTGTGACTCGGTGGCTGCGCTCAACATCGATTCGTTGCCCACGATGACCACGCCGTCCACGGACCTGGCGCATGCGAGGTTGAGCCGATTGCAATCGTCTGTAAATCCCGATGTGCGACTACTGTTGGCCCTGGCAGTCGCGTTCATGACCAGGTCAGCCTCGTCTCCCTGACTGAGTCGACGGTGCCGATCTCGATGAAGCCAGTCCAGAACACCACAGTGCACCTGGCCTCAAGCCTTCAAGCCTGGGGAAGGTCAGCCCGAGGCCGTTGGTCACTGTGGCCGTCTGCCTGAAGACTGCCAGCTCGGCCGTGCCGGAGGCTCCTCGGCCGGTCTGTCTTGGGACTGGGGTGCGGGACTTGCCTGGAGGAGGCCTCGCGGCGGGCCTCGCGCTGGGGGCGCCCTGGGGCGGGGCTCGGCTCTGGGGGGGCTTGCCTGCCGCGCCTGCCGACTCGTTGCCTTCGCCTCTGCCCTCGCGCGTCGCCCAGAACTCCATCTCTGTCAACGGCAAGCCCTTCCTGACCAGGGGCGGCATAGCTTTGCATCCGCGGAGGATCATCACCTTCCGCCCAGCGAGCACCAGGTCGCCCTGGCACGCAACGAGCAGGTCACAGATGGTGGCGGCCTCCCGAACGTCGGCATGGTTATAGCCCTCGGCCATCGCTGCGGAAACTTCGTGGACCCCAACGTGCACCAAGAGAACTCGAATGCGGCCGTTCTCCTCGGCTTCATAATCGGGATTACT